CCGCCCCTAACGACTCGTTTTTCGTCGACTCTATTCGACGCATACTATCGATTAGGCGTCAAAATCCCAATGAAAAGCACAACGACTTCATCCAATTACTTATGGATACGGAAGCCATAAATACCGGGGAGGGTATGGACGAGGATAGGGGTCTCAATACGAATACACATCACGATAATGAGGGTAAGTATTAAAGTATTAAATTACTATAAGGTTAGGAATTTGAGAATAGTTGGAAAGAGGTCAGTCTATTTATTAAACTTATATTTTTTAAAAATGAATCGCGAGTTAAACATGAGCTTGTTCACAAAACAAGAGCTTGTTCAAAATTTGAATTTTTATTATACATATGAAGGCGAAGAAGAGTCAGAAATTCGGAAAAAGGTTTTCGATATAAAACTCGCGAATAAAAGACTGACTGAAGACGAGATCGTGGCCCAGGCCTTCGTATTTCTATTGGCCGGATATTTATCGACTACCGGCGCTCTGGCGAACTGTCTGTACGAATTGGCCGTCAATCCCGACGTTCAGCAACGGCTATACGACGAGATTAACGGTGCCGTCGATTCGGACACCGGGGACATAGAGTACGACCGATTGGCACGANTATTGGCCGGATATTTATCGACTACCGGCGCTCTGGCGAACTGTCTGTACGAATTGGCCGTCAATCCCGACGTTCAGCAACGGCTATACGACGAGATTAACGGTGCCGTCGATTCGGACACCGGGGACATAGAGTACGACCGATTGGCACGACTACCCTATTTGGATGCCGTAATTGCAGAGACATTGCGCCACCATTCATTAGCCCTTCCACTGTCTAGATACCCGACCCGGGATTATAAGCTCGGCAAAACTGGTAGTACATTTTTAACCAATAGGAAAATGGATTATGTTTATACTGCATATACAGTACAGTATATATTCTATAATTGATTGTCTATATTAGGTATTACCATAAAGGCGGGACAACAGGTGGAAATACCTATCTATGCCATACATCACTCGGAACAATATTACCCGGATCCTTTCAAGTTTAAACCTGATAGATTCATGCCGGAAAATAAGCACCTGATTAAGCCCTATACTTACCTTCCGTTTGGTGTCGGTCCTCGAAATTGTGTTGCCCTACGATTCGCGTTACTTGAATTGAAACTGACCCTGGTACATACGTTGCTAGAGTATCGTTTGGTTCGGTGCCCGGAAACAGACGTTCCCCTCCGGTATAAGCGATTCATACACCAAACCGTCGCCGAAAGACTTTGCATCAGAATTGAGCCGAGATTTGAAACAAATATTTAAATATGAAATATTTTTTAGATATATTAATCGGGATTTGATAATTGTTTAGTACTGTATTGTATCTTATATTATAATTTATTATAATACACTATTTTGTTATATAAATCTAATTATAAGAATCCAAAAAACTCCAAAGGTCGACCACTGTATTCCGATCTGTATTCCGATCGCTTGGTTTCCATATTCGATCGCGAAATACGTGAAAATCGGTAACAATTATGTGATTTATTAGCTCAGGTTCGGCAACCATTAGTACTGGCTTTAGACCTTCGTATACTCTAGTGATCAGACAATTATGATCATACGTTTACAATGATCGCGAAATACGTGAAAATCGGTAACAATTATGTGATTTATTAGCTCAGGTTCGGCAACCATTAGTACTGGCTTTAGACCTTCGTATACTCTAGTGATCAGACAATTATGATCATACGTTTACAATGATTATCATTTATAATACTGTATATTGATTAAAAACATATTGAATAATTAGTAGATTATATGAACTTTAAGATGAGATGTCAAATGTGTTAATTATGATTTGATATCTGATGCATGAATACTAACCAATATTTCAACATCTTTTTAAAAATGGCTGCTCTATTAGTAAGCCAATGGTTGCAGTCATATTAAAAAGAGTTGAAATCATTGTTTAAACTTAATGTGTTAAATGCAGTATATTTGATCATTTAAATGTTGTTTGCTATTATTTTGTTGTTTAATAAATAAAAATGTTTTCAATACAAATCTTAGTCACATTTAAATCAGAAAATACTAGTGTTTTGAATGGTTTAAAATTTTAATATTATTATAAAACACTATTTTGAGGATTTATAAAATTTTGGACATCTATGTTCTATACTCTATACTCTGTGTAAATGCAAAACATGTGGTGTTTACATGAGATATGAAACACATGTGATTTGATTTCTAAATTATTTGAAAAATATTTTATTTATTGTGCATTTATTTGAAAGTAAAGCACGTGTTTTAAATGTGATTTTTGTGTAAACTGTTTGTGACATTAACTCCAATCGCATACATATCTCATATTTAAATGAACACTATTTTTGTGTCAATTTGATTGTATTTCGATTTAAACTGTTTGACATTTATTTGCAAAATGTAATCAATTTTGTTGTGAATTTTAAGTATGAAATTTTATAAAATTTTTATGCAGTTTACAACCTGTACTACTTTTTCAAATATAATAAAAAGGTTTTGCATCAAGTCAAGTCAGGATTATAGTCTACGATGCACACCGGAGCCATTTGGGGCCACACTATGAGTGACAAAACTTTGAACATTTTAACATTAATCTCTATACTGACTAATGTTATAATAGTCACTGTTTTGTCACTGTTAATGTGGCCCGGATTACAATGAATGCGCATCGTAGATTATAGTTATAGGTAGAAAATGAAAAACTTATGCCATGAGCAAAATGTGCATGTCACCTTGTGTTGCTAACGGGTTTTCATATAGATTATTTATATAGATATTTTAGATTATATTATTTATTTAAAGTTTACAAAAACAATTTTTCGCTTTTGTAACAATTTTCATATAATACACCCAATAATGTAAATCTTATTGTGTTTTATCCATCATAAACTTCTCTTACTTATAATAATATGCATATCCAGGTCAATTAACATTGTAATGGCGGTTAATATGCGTGACGAGGACCAACTTCGCTCTCAATATGTGCGCTCTATTCCGGACGCAATATTAGCGGACGGCCTACTACTCCAGGGTCGGGTCAACCCATCGCGATATTTGTCACAAATGGCCACTTTTGAAATCCGGGCCAACGATATATGGCTGGTGTCTTACCCCAAGTCAGGCACCACATGGACTAAACAGATACTGTCGCTCGTCGACGGTAACGGAAACGTGGAGTCCGTAAGCGATGTATCCGTAATAGAGCGCATCAAACACATCGAGGTTTACGACAATATCGAGCGGTTANCCGGCAATTCTGTGACGAAACACAATTTGAATCATTTGATTGGCGAGGAGTGGAAAAGGGTTCGCGCGATAGTGTCGCCGACATTCAGTTCCGGCAAAATGAGGCAATTGTGCGCTCGGGTCCGGGAGTGTGCGACACGTTTCACAAAACATTTACAAGTAATGTAATGTAAATTTACCCTCAATTGCAAGTTTACTATTCATTATCAGAAGTTAGCGAACATTCATTAAATAACAAAAATATTTTTCAATGCATAATATAAAGCGAATGTCAGACATAGATTTGAAAGTCAAATATACATTTATCAAATAGACCTTGTAGGGTTTAAGCGTTTTAAGTTTCAGGCTTTTTGGGGTTGAGCTGCTTTTATATTTAAACTATTCTACAAATGAACTAACTTTCAAATTTTGTCTAAAGTATTGGTAATAATCACGAACTCACAGATATTTTCAATAATAGAAATGAATACTAATGCCCTGGTCACTCGATTGGCTCTGATAGGTGTACAGTAACTCTGGGAACTCTATAGACTTATGGGATGTTTGTGGCAAATACGCGGTCGACGTGATCGCCACGAGTGCGTTCGCTGTCCGTATCGACGCCTACGACTCGGCCGGCAATCCGTTTGTGGCGAACCGGCAATTCTGTGACGAAACACAATTTGAATCATTTGATTGGCGAGGAGTGGAAAAGGGTTCGCGCGATAGTGTCGCCGACATTCAGTTCCGGCAAAATGAGGCAATTGTGCGCTCGGGTCCGGGAGTGTGCGACACGTTTCACAAAACATTTACAAGTAATGTAATGTAAATTTACCCTCAATTGCAAGTTTACTATTGACTATCAGAAGTTAGTGAACATTCATTAAATAACAAAAATATTTTTCAATGTATAATATAAAGCGAATATCTGACATAAACACAGATTCAAAGTGAAATATACATTTATCAAATAGACCTTGTAGGGTTAGGCGTTTTAAGTTTCAGGCTTTTTTGGGGTTGAGCTGCTTTTATATTTAAACTATGCTACAAATGAACCAACTTTCAAATTTTGTCTAAAGTATGGGTAATAATCTCAACTCACAGATATTTTCAATAATAGAAATGAATACTAATGCCCTTGGTCACTCGATTGGCTCTGATAGGTGTATAGTAACTCTGGCAACTCTATAGACTTATGGGATGTTTGTGGCAAATACGCGGTCGACGTGATCGCCACGAGTGCGTTCGCTGTCCGTATCGACGCCTACGACTCGGCCGGCAATCCGTTTGTGGCGAATGCCGTCAATAAGTTTCGCTTCGGTGTCGTCGACGAGATGGCGTCGTTCGCACTGCCGGTATCTGTGCGCCGATGGCTCCGACTGTCGGCCGCCCCTAACGACTCGTTTTTCGTCGACTCTATTCGACGCATACTATCGATTAGGCGTCAAAATCCCAATGAAAAGCACAACGACTTCATCCAATTACTTATGGATACGGAAGCCATAAATACCGG